GTCGGCCGCCAGAGTAACGCGAGACGCGCCGAGCCGCCCGACGACATTCAACCGTGTGTGAGAAATATAGCAAGTGAATTGTTAACCATTTGTGCCATTGCTTAAATAAATCAATCAAATTAAAGGAAAGTGGTTTTAAGGAGAACTCTCTCACCTAACGATTCTGCTCGGAGTTCCTTAGTCTTGGCGAACCCAACTATCTCAAATAATAACGTTGTAGCCCATTCGGGGTACAACAGATATGTCGTACGATGAATTCTGTGCGTTATGCCGCGATTGTTAGCAGCGCGAGTACGGATTTTTAATGATAGATAAGGACAGTCGGCTTATCAATGAGCGATACAGAAAAGAATTTAACACGTTCGCAGTATCATAATGCGATTATCATAAGTCGATGCCGATACATCAAGCAACATGGATAACATGGATCAAAGATCGTGAGAAAATAGCGAAACAGATTGCGAAAACGAGCGATTCGATTCGCAAAAAATATCGCGCTTTGAAAATTGGTAAAATAGCTGAAGATATAGCGTTGGAGAGACACTTCAAACCCATCGTCGAACCTCTAAAACAGATTGTTGAAAACATTAAGGAATCTCAGCCAATTAAAAAAGAAGCCAATATTGCAAAGGATATCGATATTAAGAAAAAGAAACGTGAAGACAGCGATGACGACGATGATAACACTACAACTAATAGGAATTCGTATTGGACGGATGTTGGATTGAAATTAACGCCTAAAAAGCAACGTACAAAACAATTGAATCCCACATCAGATTCATTCACGTACAAATCTACATCGAAAGAACTGCTACCGCCGAAAGAATTATCTAAAGAACCATCGAAAATACGTTGTTTGTGCGAAACGAAGATGTTTTTGAGACAAAAGACGTCAGTGAATCGTCACCGAAAATAGCCATCAAACAGACTCTGCAAACGCAAAGAGGAAGCCGCGAGGTCCTTCATGGTCAGTTAGGACCGTTGGGACGAAAGTACGAGCTTTCTTCTCGGATGACATAGATAAAGCGATCGGTAATGTGTACAGTATCTATTTCGATAAGTGGTACGATGCTCGATGACAAAAAGTTTGACGTTGACAAAAATGACTCCACAATCATAAACAATGTGAGATACAATGGTACACCAAGATTATACGAATTAATTTTCAAGAGACTTCTCGATGAGGCTTATTCACCGAAGATGACAAACGTATAAAAGTATACGTATGTTAACAACGAGTGCTCATAGACGTGGCCACAGCGCCTATAATCCCATCATGGGCAAAAAGGGATAAAAGTACATTAACATTATCGCTCCGCTCGTATCTACATATAAGAAAAGCGGTAAAAAGGGTGCAGGTATTGGCAATATATCATCCGCCATGAAATTAAACGACAAGATCGATTACATGCATTGGGACGATTTCAACGAGTTACGGATCAACTCCGATTGCTCGATTCTTCGCACCGAGCTGGTAATAACGCTCACGACAACAAGAAATGTCGATTATCGAGGAACTTCGCGAAGCCGGCATTATTATAAATTAATTGTGTATCGACGAAATGAGCCAGTCGATCGACACGTCAATGAGGAAAAAACATTTTAAATCGTATATCTTATTTACACATATTATTATTAAATATTATCGAAACATGAGATCCGGTGAACGTGAAAAAAAATGTTAGCTCCGAGAGGCGACAACTCGTTGAGGAATTGCACGCTCCGGCGAGAAGAAATTTTCCGCGAAGGCATGTCATAATTCGGAGATACGACGTTCTGTGGGCAGGCTGATCGTCGAGATGCGTCCGTAGTTCGAGTTTCAACAGAGGTCATCACTACATACTCACCGTCATCGATGCGTTGAGCACGTTCGCCCGGGCCGTATCGCTCAAGAGCAAGGTCGGAAGTGAGACGGCTAAGACGCTATCGCTAAGATAATTCGAGAGAACGGAAGAAGAAACAGATATAAGGAAGGAGTTTTACAACGTCGATGTGCAGAAATTCTTGAAAAAACACAACTTAATCATTATTTTACGTATACGATGTTAAAGGCATCGATCATCGAGCGATTCATCGCACGTTTAAGAACGACATATGGAAGATGTTTATGCTCAACGGCAGTTACAAGTGGGTCGACGCGCTACTGTATCTCGTGTAAGATTACAATGCGCGCAAGCATCGCACTATCGGCATGCGACTAGTTGACGTAACTCCCGCGATCGCCAAATGCTTATCTACTTATTTATATCATCTTCGCTACCTTCATCTATCTGTTTATCTATTTGTTTATTTATTTGTTTATATCATCTTTACCTTGCCGGATCTTACTATCTTATCTCCCCCCCC